CATGATTATAATACTACTGTGATATCCTTGGTACTTAAGTTTGGAGGAAAGTACTTCTCTGACAAAAGACCAGTTACTTGGTTTTCCCATGTTTGTCCCCATAATTCCATGAGATTTTAATCCATTCAGTATCCATTTCCTCCTTTTAGGGTGAGACTAACATCTACTCTGGAGCCATATAAAGCAACCTATGCTCTTCATATTTTCCCAAGAGGTGAAGAAAAATTTTTATTAGCAGAAGCTCTCTGGTTTCATACCACAGAAGTCTTCCCAGCATACTTTGTGGAAGTAGATAATCCAGCCTCCTTCTCCTGTTTCAGTTTTCAAAAAAGGTAAAAATGTCTATCAAAAATGGTATATCTCAAAATTTTGTATCTAAACTTGAAACTCCCAGGAATACTCTTAGCCATCTAGTCTCTCAGCACAAAATGTGCTCTTGGACCACTTGGTTCACTATCAACTGGGGAGCTTACTACAAATACACATTTCTGGAACCTCCCAGATTTACCAAATCAGAATTTCTAGAGAGGACCAAGGAATATAATTTCTTCTATCAACCCAGATGATTCTTTTCTGATACCAATAGAATTCTAAGTTAGCTGGCACAAAAACCAACACTCAGATCAATGGAACAGAATAGAGAACCCAGAAATGGACCCAGAAAAGTATGGCCAACTAATCTTTGACAAAGCAGGAAAGAATATCCGATGGAATAAAGACAGTCTCTTCACCAAGTGGTGCTGGGAAAACTGGACAACAACATGCAGAAGAATGAACCTGGACCACTTTCTTACACCATACACAAAAATAAACTCAAAATGGATTGGGGCGCCTGGGTGGCTCAGTCGGTTAAGCGGCCGACTTCGGCTCAGGTCACGATCTTACAGTCTGTGAGTTCGAGCCCCGCATCGGGCTCTGGGCTGATGGCTCAGAGCCTGGAGCCTGCTTCCGATTCTGTGTCTCCCTCTCTCTCTCTGCCCCTCCCCCGTTCATGCTCTGTCTCTCTCTGTCTCAAAAATAAATAAAACGTATAAAAAAAAAAATTAAAAAAAAAAAAAACAAAATGGATGAAAGATCTCAGTGTAAGACAGGAAGCCATCAAAATCCTCGAGGAGAAAGCAGGCAAAAACCTCTTTGATCTTGCCCGCAGCAACTTCTTACTCAACAAGTCTCTGGAGGCAGGGAAACAAAAGCAAAAATGAACTATTGGGACCTCATCAAAATAACAAGTTTCTACACAGCAAAGGAAACAATCAGCAAAACTAAAAGGCAACTGACAGAATGGGAGAAGATATTTGCAAAACGTATCAGATAAAGGGTTAGTATCCAAAATCTATAAAGAACTTACTAAACTCAACACCCAAAAAACAAATAATCCCATGAAGTAATGGGCAAAAGACATGAATAGACACTTCTCCAAAGAAGACATCCAGATGGCCAACCGACACATGAAAAAATGCTCAGCATCACTCATCATCAGGGAAATACAAATCAACACCACAATGAGATACCACCTCACACCTGTCAGAATGGCTAACATTAACAACTCAGGCAACAACAGATGTTGGCGAGGATGCAGAGAAAGAGGATCTCTTTTGCATTGTTGGTGGGAATGCAAGCTGGTGCAGCCACTCTGGAAAACAGTATGGAGGTTCCTCAAAAAACTAAAAATAGAACTACCCTAGACCCAGCAATTGCACTACTAGGCATTTATCCAAGGAACACAGGTGTGCTGTTTCAAAGGGACACATGCATCCCAATGTTTATAGCAGCACTATCAACAATAGCCAAAGGATGGAAAGAGCCCAAATGTCCATCAATGGATGAATGGATAAAGAAGATGTGGTATGTATAGACAATGGAGTCTTACTCAGCAATCAAAAAGAATGAAATCTTGCCTTTTGCAACTACGTGGATGGAACTAGAGGGTATTATGCTAAGCGAAATTAGTCAGAGAAAGACAAATATCATAAGGCTTCACTCACATGAGGACTTTAAGATACAAAACAGATGAACATAAGGGAAGGGAAGCAAAAATAATATAAAAACAGGGAGGGGGACAAAACATAAGAGACTCTTAAATATGGAGAACAAACAGAGGGTTACTGGAGGGGTTTTGGGAGGGGGGATGGGCTAAATGGGTAAGGGGCCCTAAGGAATCTACTCCTGAAATCATTGTTACACTATATGCTAATTTGGATGTAAATTAAAAAAAAAAAGAATTCTAATTTAGTATTGGGTTGTTGGCTTTTCTTTATCAAAGTTTGCTGTGAGATACACACAAATAAAATCTCTATCTTTTTTTTTAATGCTACCTATCAAGGACATTGTCTATTTTATTATTCAGTGTTCTTTGGTTTCCATGGAACAAAATCCCTTTCAGATTTCAGAGCTGGATAAAAGGTTTTCTTTTCTATGAACTGCTGTGCTTTCTTTATTAGACTAGTGTTCATCAAATTTGGCTAATTATCAAAATTGCCTGGGGAAATTTTTAAAAATACATGCATCCCAGACCCCATGTAAAACCCATTCATGAGATACTCCAGGTAAAAGAGAATCCATGTAAGACTAAACATTAACCATGTTTCAAAACTATACGTGAGATGATGTCTAGATAATTCACCATGTTCACTTTTTGCCTTGGCTTCCTGGAAACTAGTCTTAAAGCAATTTTTCTTAAAATTCAGTTCTTTAATATAATTATTCTCCTTTTCTTTCCCTCATTTTATTACTTGTCTGGTTCAGTATTTTTTTTTTACTTTTTTTTTAACGTTTATTTATTTTTTTGGGACAGAGAGAGACAGAGCATGAACGGGGGAGGGGCAGAGAGAGAGGGAGACACAGAATCGGAAACAGGGTCCAGGCTCTGAGCCATCAGCCCAGAGCCCGACGCGGGGCTCGAACTCACGGACCGCGAGATCGTGACCTGGCTGAAGTCGGACGCCTAACCGACTGCGCCACCCAGGCGCCCCTGGTTCAGTATTTTTTAATGAGTTTCAACTTCAGAGGAAATAACTTGTAATAATACTATCCTTTGGACCAGCACATTCCTTGCAAGGGCAATTTTAGCCTAAAATAAATCACTTATTGGGATTATAGAGTAAAAGAATCTGGTGGGCTTAAAAGTTTCATCATTCAGATTTTATGGAAGCTTCATAGGAAATTACTGTTTGAAAGGCACTCTGAAAATCATTGTTATTAAATGCCATATACATAATTAAGTTTCTGATCCCTTTTCAATCTCTTTGCTAAGGGTACTCCCCAGACTAAATACATTGTTTCTTTCTTTTTATTCACCACCTCAAAGATCGAATCCATTTTAGTGGTGTCAACCATTACCATCATGCTGAACAATTTCCAGATGTATGCTTGAACTTGAATCATTCACTAAAGCCCCAGGCCTAAATCCTTGGCTAACTGCAGAAACTCTTCATTTGGCTGTCTCCCAAAGACCACACATCAATGTGCAATTTTACATTCCTGATTACTGCCCTCTTCCAATTCGCCCTTTAGGTAAATAGCATCACCATTTTTTCCACATCCCCAGCTGAATTAGTCCTTGGTTACTCATTTCTTTTAATCCCCCTCCACTTAGCAGGGCAATATTTATGCCCTAATTTGAGGATGTGGATGCAGTCTGAAGACCAAAGAAAATGCCCGTGATTATGAGTGATCTCAGAAGGAGTGATAAATTGCCTAGGAAATAAAACTGCCCTGTTTCACAGGGACAAAACTTAACATTTGTCTTAGTCTCAGGGATAGACCCCTTTCTGTTTTCCCCAGTCTGGTACGCCTGCCCCAAATTAAAGTAAACTACTGATTCCTCTGTATTCGTTCAATTCCTGTTCTCATTCATCGTGGTGCTGGCGGTGGTGGTTAACGGTAATGGTTTAGCAATAGTATTTGTCCAACCAATTTCTCATCTGAAGAAAAGGAATGGTAACAGTACCTAACTCAATAAGTTGTTATGAGTATTAAATATCCGTAGTGTTCAGCATAATGCTTGGTACCCAATAAATATCAGTTGCTATTATTTTTATTGTTGTTATTATTGACAGAATATAGTCACATAGTCCTTATGATTATTTCACTTTGATTTATACCAATTAAACTCCACAAAACACCAAATTTGCTCTCTGGTAAAATCTTACATAAGATTATGAGATTTTTATAAGATAGAATTCACATTCTTCATCTTGGGAGTTAAAATGTAATAGTTGTAAAACCTTAAACAAGTCATTTTGCTGAGCCTCTGTTTCCTCATTTGAAATAGGAATAACATTAGGTTCCAGGTTGACATGAGGTAAAAATTAATATTATGAACAGCACTTGGGAGGCTGCAAGAAACTATACACATTTTAGTTGTTTTCATTGGTGCTGTAAGCTTTGTCTTAGAGGCACTGAGCCCTATACCATTTTTGATGGCTCCAAGACATCAACTCAGTTCAATCAGTCACAAATCCCCTGAGGCACAAGACCTAATGTTAAAAGCAGTTTAAGAAAGCATTTTGCACAGAAAGATGGGTTCATTATTTCATCCTCCTCAGATGAAAGTGATCTACTGGATGGCCTCCCGGGCAGATGTAATTGCCCAATTATTTTATGAAGCATCTCCCAAATGTGACAACCTCCCCAGGAACTGCTTACCTACTACCATTTTCCTGTCTGTTCCTGAGAACTAGGACCCTCTTGAAAGCACAACAAATTCAAACTAAGACCCCCTTGTCTATCTGTGTCTGCTGAGATTGTTTCCGAAATCCTTACTACACACGTCTCCACGGTCCTCGACCGTTGCCTCAAATACGAGTCACCCCACCCTCTGTTACACTCATTCACTCATGCTCATGCTGCTGTTGGATTTTTCTCCCCTGATCCAACCACTTCCTGCTGTTCCTCCACCTCCAGAACCTTTACACCATGTTCTCTGAAGCACCTGTGGTGGTTCATGTTATTTGCCCAACACCCCTTCTTCCACACCCTCCAGTAACAAACTCACTTACCCTACCCACAGGGAAAAGTGGGTGACCACAATGGGCCATAAAAATGGACCCAGGAATGATCATGCTACCAAGCCAGATTAGTCTGGGTCTTTCCTTGGGATTATTCTGATAGATCTTCCAAGAAACCATGTTCTATGCCATATAAATAAAGTCCATTTATAACAGGGAAAAATGAAGCCAAGCTGAAACAGAAGACAGAAAAAAAGGAGATATGTTGAGAGTCCCGATAAGGTCAAATGCCTGGTTCTAGATTCTAAGATCCACAACGGCACTCTAGCTCCCTAAGCTTTTTTTGTTTTCTTTTTTCTTTTTCAATCTGTTAACTTTCAGCCCACTATGTCCTCTTTTCAGTCACTTGCAACTAGAAGAGTTATGACTAATACAATCCATTCCATTATAAATAAAATCCCCTACATCCTCGACTGTTCCACCAAACATTCTCTTCACCACTTGCTTTGGCTATATCACAGCCCTCCCCTCAACCCACCAATCTCCTTCGGCCCTCTTGAGTGGGACTGACAATCTCCTTCCTCTCCAAACCGCCACAGTGCCACCCTGGGAAAAACAAAAACAGAAACAAAAAACCCTGCTCCTTCAGCCATCTTTCTTTCCACTCTTACTGCCATTTGTCCCCCTCCCCCCATTCATTCATTCCGAAGAAGAATCTCGCTCCCAGTCTTCCTTACACTGCCTCTCCTGATCTCACCACCCAAGTGAGTGGGGGAACCTCTACTCACAGATCTACGGCTGCCTTGTCCCTACTGACCTTTCCTCCTTCCTTTCGGGGTGAAAACTGGCATCCCCTCCTTTGTAAAGTTACTCCTCTATCTATGCTCTGTCTACCACAGAGACCTCAGTCCGTTGATGCCACCTGTTCCCATTTCCGCAGTGTCTTCACCTCTCCCTCTCATCCCTCCTCCTAGTCATCCGCACAGGCACAACTGTCAGTCACATCATTCGAAAGCCTGCACAAAATCTACCTTGGCTCCCTTATTCCTCCGTAGCTGCAGACCCTGCTTTCTCTTCCTCTTCAAAGTGAAACTTCTTGGAAGTATTTACTCTCTGGTTTCCATGTCTTCCCTAGGCATTCACCGCTCTCTGAAACTGATCTCTCTTCTACCAGAGAAGCTTTGACTCGGGGTCCTTGATGTGTTAAATAAAGTAAGATGAAACAAAGTTAAATCAGTTAAATAGGTCAAAGGGGAGAAAGCCCACCTTGGGCCCCTTAAGCCTCTAGAGTCATAATCCCATGACCTGGGCCGACTCGTGTCCTAGCCCTGGAGGAACACAGGAGTGGTCTAGGTGGGTCACAGACTCTAACTGTTACCAGCCGGCTCTCCCTCAATGGTCAGACCCACCTGCGGGCGTGCTGTGTCACCTCCTTCCAGTCTGCCTTACTAGTTACAGTGCAGCCTTATAAATTTGGTTTACAGTTGCCACAGCAGTAAAATTTATACCCAAGGAAATTATATAATTTCCAACTATGAATGGAACGAATTTGCTTCCTCATAGAAATACAATTTATTCCTTACAATACAAGTGCAATTATATGTTTTAACAACTTACCACATATGATGTAACAATGGCATGTAAACAGATCAATGACCTGCTTTTATTTATTTTTTTTATTTTAATTTAATTTAATTTTATTTTTTTTAACGTTTATTTATTTTTGAGACAGAAAGAGACAGAGCATGAACGGGGGAGGGTCAGAGAGAGAGGGAGACACAGAATCCGAAACAGGCTCCAGGCTCTGAGCAGTCAGCACAGAGCCCAACAGGGGGGCTCGAACTCACAGACAGTGAGATCGTGACCTGAGCCGAAGTCAGACGCTTAACCGACTGAGCCACCCAGGCGCCCCATGACCTGCTTTAGGGAAAAAAAAAAAAAAAAGTGAGGCACCTGCGTGGCTCAGTCAGTTACGCATATGACTTAATTTGGGCTCAGGTCATGATCCCGAGGTTTGTGAGATCGAGTCCCGCATTGGACTCTGTGCTTGGGATTCTCTCCTTCTCTCTCGGCCCGTCTATCTCAAAACAAATAAATAAACTTTAAAAAAATGTGCCGTGTTTCTATGAGGGCAGGAACTATAGTCGGGAATGGATTAGGTTGACAATCACTGTTCTCTGGAAGTTCAACATCTTCCTGGTAAGTGAAGCTCCTGGAGGAGTACTTACATGAAACAAGAACGGGCTTGGCAAACAGATTACTAGCCCTGTGACTTTGGGCAAATTACTTAGCATCTCTGAGCCTCAGTTTCCCCATTTTTAAATTAAAATAATAACACCTAGGGCACCTGGGTGGCTCAGTCGGTTAAGCATCCCACTTCAGCTCAGGTCATGATCTCATGGTTCGTGGGTTCGAGCCCCGCACCGGGACGTCTGCTGTCAGTGAAGAGCCCACTTCAGATCTCCTGTCCTCCTCTCTTTCTGCCCCTCCCCCACTCATGCTCACTCACGCTCTCTCTCTCAAAAATAAACAATAAAATTTTTTTTAAATAAAATAAAATAACACCTGTTTCGTAGGGTTTTTGTGAAGACTAAATGACATAACCCATGTGAAAGCAAAATGCCTGGAACACAGTAGGCATGCAACAAATAGTTCCTCTCCTCTCATCCTTCTGTCATATAGGAGGGGCTGAAATGCAACAGTCGCATTTTCCTTCTCACTCAATCAGGCACTTTCTTGCATGTGACTCTCACGTCATCTCAGAAGGGTTTTTTCATCCCTGGGTAGGTCTCATACGGCCAACTAGAGATAACCTCTTTGAGGGCAAAGATCGTCTTTCTGTTTCTTTCCTATTTCTCAGAACTACAGCAACCCTATGCCAAACATTTTCCTGGGTAGACCCAAATCCACATAATCTGCCTTTAGTCCTTTTCTGAATCACTGAAAATATCCTGAGAATCCCAACAATTGAGGGCTCAAGGTACATTTGCCAAAAAATCACTTACCCAGAATGTGGTGACTGTACACACTTTGGTCAGCACTATGCTGGACACGCGATGGCCCCCACAGTGGGATACACCTGAGCAACCAACCTGCTTAAAAGAATCCTCCAGAGCCCCAAGGGCCTTAGTAAGACCACCTTCCCCGCTACCATAACCCACGCTTAGAGGACTTAGTGGCAGTCACCCCTCCTTATAATCTCTTTAATCCTAAAAGGGAAGTTAAAATTAGAGTAGATTCCCCACTTTCCCCTAAAAGACCACCAGGATAATTCTATCATGCATAAGAGCACTTCCCACCTTGATACTCTCCAGAAGCAAACCTCCAGCGTCACCCATCGTCACCATTGTCTCTTCCCCACATGACTCTGTTCATCCCCTTAGTGACTTAAACTAAAAGCCAACCCTCCCCCCACCAGCCCCTTAACCCTTCTACTTTATCCCCTAGGACCCCAGCTGTGTTACCTCCACACTTTCCACCACTTTCTTCACCGTCTTACGCAGAAACCTGGCTACAGCTCTAACTGAAAACTGAACACTGAAAACTGAAACCTGTTTTCCTTTGTGCCTTGTCGAAAGGTGGCTATTTTTTCCCTCCCGCACCTCACATACCATAGAACTCAGGGGTGGAGTGGGTGTTTTGCATGATCCTTATGGCTGATGACAGCTTTTCTCCCTTGCTCAAAAGCCCCAACTCTTCTGGGAACCCATGCCCTCCAACTGTACCACCCACTATCCCCCTGTGGCAATCATCTGCTAAGCTCTCTGACTCCTCCTCGTTCATGTCAGCCGTTGGCAGCTGGCTCCTCCCCTGGCTCCCTTCTGATTCTACTCCTTCAGTCATTCTTGGTGATTGAACATCCATGTAAAGTGTGTGTCAAGCCCCCTAGCCTCCTGGTGCCTTGACTCCTCACTTCCAATGCACTCCTCCCACCTCCACCTCCGCACCCTCTCCCTTCATCACGCCCTCACCGCCTCACGGCCGGTGAGGGCACAACACCTGAACTCACTCCCAGCATCCCACTCCCTGACTACTTCCTTCTGGGCCAACTAGTCCCACCCCAACTGTCTTCAACCCCATGGGTGCCTCCCATTCAGAGGTCTCAGCACTATTGGTCTGTCCTCTGCATCTGTCAGAAGACTGGCAAGGGATAGATGGCATGTTCAGAAGGGTTAAACTGCTGAGAGCTTAATGAAGGGCCTGTTCACAGAGGAGCGGGCAGGTAGAGGGAAGTAACAAGAGACAGGGAAGTTCCTGGGGATAAGGAATGTGGGAAGCCATGACCACAAACAGCCTGAAGAGGCCAAGGAGAGAATAAGCTAGCTCACTGAGCCCAGGGAGAGCTGGGACAGTGAGAGAAAGGCTACCTGACTGGGCTATGGCCACAGGAAACCACAGCCACTGCCAGAAACAGTCAGGTGAGGAGGAATCAGGGACCATAAATCCCCAGAGCTCTCCTCTGATTTTTGGCCAGTGTCTTCCCTCAGCCGAAGTCAATGAGGAGTCAGAGAGAGTGCAAGGGAGCCTCAGGGATGCAGTCTATAGAGGTATGTCTTTCACAGCAGAAGAGTGGATTGTAGGCTGGAGGGTGCTAGAGGGTCAGAGCACAACTACCCCTCACACCTTCACTTCCTGAGCCCTGCCCTCATCTACACGCATCCTCAACATCCTTGCCCCACTGTCATACTGGCCTTGCAAGACCCAGCCTTCTCCACACCTATATCCAAGCGGCGGGTGTGGCTGGAGACAGTTGTGTGACTCTGCTTACAAGTGTCACTTTGAATTTACGTCTACAAGTCTCAAGAAGTTTCTGCGGTCTGGTTACGTTCCCCTAATCCATTCACCCTCCCAGTTTCACCCCATTCTCTCTTCATTGTACTCTCCCCGTTCCTGATGATTTCATTTCGTATTTTACTGAGAAAACAGGAGCGATCAGAAGAAGACAACTTCATCTTGCCGTCGTCAACCTCTCCATAAGCTCCACTCTCCCTCTAGTTACTGTGGGTATCCCAAGCCTGTTATTGTGGGTGCTGCACTTCCACACCATCATCTTTGGAGTGCGTGGAGGGAGCCCCCAGTCCCTGACACAGCAGTGGTGGAAGGTGCCCCCCCATTTCTGCCCAGCGTGCTGGTGCTCCCCACTGGGCTGTCTGAAACCTCCTCAGACTATAACTTCATCTGAGGATCTTCCTGCCTGGTCCTTCTTCCTTCTGGTCTCAGGTGTCAGGCCTGAGATTTTTTTTTTTGCCAAAAAAATCTCTTATGCTTCTAACTCTGTCGCGTCCGTTTCCTGGATAACCCAGACTGACGCAGTCAGACAACCCCTGCCTTGCCATATCCAATGGTCATCTCAAGTCCTGTGGCTGCCCAGAGTATGATAGGTTTATGAAACTGAAAGACCAATGGAGGATTTTCCCATAAAAGAGTAAAAAATAACTAAATTTTTAAGGTTTGAAAGAGGCTATTTAAATTTAAAAACTCACTTTACTGGAACGATTAGTTTCCAAATGACCAAGAATATTCCTATCACCCCCTGCACCAAGCAAGTCTCGAAAACACCCATCACACTGGTAAGTACTCGTTTATCATCTTTTATTCCAGGTACGGGTTTCCCCTGTTATGGGAAAGTAGAGTGTTCTTTTGAAACCTTTTGTAAGCAGAAATGGCAGAAAGCAAAGAAACAATTATCATTAATGTATATGAAAAGGTTTTTAGCATTCTCAGACCCAAAAAATAATCTTTCTTGGGCTTTTCTGATACCCTAGGACCCATCTTGCCAACAGATGTACAAAATAAATTGAGATAAAGCACAGATGCTCACAGCTGCAGTTTAAAGCAGCTTGATGCTGAGATGCCGAGTTCCCGGGGAAGGTCCAGGGGAAGGAGCTTGGCAGGGTCACTCTCGCCGCTTGGGATGCACACTGCCTCTGTAACCACTCACTGCAAAAGAGATGCTGAACGCTATTTTTGCTTCGCGCCTTTTTGAGAAAATCCTCTTTTGGATTTCTTTTGGTCGTCAAAAACAAGTACTAACATTGGTCTTTCATAAAGGGAAGTGTTGTAACGTGAACTTTTGAAAAGCAGGGGACACCTGTACATGAGCTTCAGAAACAAATATTAAATCTGTCTTGTTCACAGTTATATCCCTAGTGCTCAACATTTGCTTAGTGCATTGCAAGTGCTATTTATTTATTTATTTATTTATCTACCTTGAAACTGTTCACTTCTGTTAACCTTATTTCCATTTTGTTTGCCTTTGTGGAGGGGCAGCTTAAGACCACTCCGGGGTTGTTCCTACCAACTCAGTGCCCGGAACAGTGGGAGCTGCACACCGGTCCGCACGGCAGGCTGAGAGCGCCAGGCTTCAGGAGGGAACTGCTGAACAGGCACAGAGGGCACCCGCGGCGCCTGCAGACCAGTCTGCGACTTCAGGTTGAGTAGCGGTGACCTCACTGGAGCTGGAGCAGTCCATCCACCCTGAAATTCCTCCTTGCTCACAGCCTTTTCCTTTTCAACCTCTTCAGGTTCTCTGTAGAAGCAGAGATCAGGCGTGACCTCCCATGGGTGTTCACGGGAAATGGCGTCACGCACGTGCAGAACTTCCTGGACCACCGTCCACCACGTCAGACCCACTGAGCGAGCTCCCTTGTTGTTGCAAGGCGCGGCAATGTCCACACGGCGCAGAGGAGAGTTTGTGTTACGCAGAGTGATGGCAGGGGGGTTACCAGAAGACGCCTCTGTGGGAGGGTGGTGGTCAGCCCGGGGATCCTAACCACCCCAAGTCTCGGCTCCCGGAAGGCTGCCTGGATCGGGTTAGTGAAGGTTCCAGGAGTGAAGTGGCCGGCAGTGGGACTGGCTCCAGTAGCAGCCGCAAACTTCAGCCCAGCTCGCTGGCCAGGATTCCTGGGTGATAGGACACTGACGGGAGCCGTTTTCAACGGCAACAATGGCACAAGCTGCCAGCAGAAGCTTCTCCCACGTTCTCTTCAGATGCCATCACATTTCCTTTTATAGATGTAGTTCCATCTGGAAGTCAAGGTTGGCGCCACCTAAGTGGGTTCCTGCCGCAAGGAATTCTAGGACACCCTCCTCCTCCTTCATTTACAGGACATCAAGGGCTCTGGACATCATGAAAGTTTCCTTTAACGACAGGAATGCAGAACAACACCATATGGACCCTTCCCTGGGTAGCGCGGAAAGGGCACGTGCTCTTTAAGTGTCTTCAAAATCACTAAATTTGTAGAGCCATGATTTCCATTCACCTTTATATTTGTTTGTTGGGTAAACTATTTTAAGTTTTTGTCTAGGCCACGTGAAACCTTGCTCCTTTTCATTCACTCAATAGACATGGAGCACTAAAACTTGGCAGCAAAGTGCCAAGTAATAGGAGATACGATGACGAAATGACTCCCATTTCCCGAGGAGCACTAGTCTACGGGACAGGCAGACTTACAATGAGAATACAGTACGGCAACGGCTAAAGTAAAATGATGTACAAAATACGACTGAATTATCAGAGACTTACATATAAAAGCCAAAACTATAAAGCTCTTAGAAAAAAGACGGTAGTAAATCCGTGTCATCTTGCGTTAAGCAATGATTTCCAAGGCCACAGAAAGCAAGTGATAGAAGAGAAGACAGATAAATTGGGCTTCATCAAAATTTAAACCTCTTGTGCTTCAAAGGACACCAGCAAGAAAACAGAAAGACAACAAACAGACTGGGAAAAAATATTTTCAAGTCGCGTGTCTGATAAGGGACTCGTATCTAGAATACATTTTAAAAACTCATAACTCAGTCAATTTTTTAAAAAATAACCCATTATAGAAACTAGCAAAAGACTTGAATAGACATTTCTCCAAAGATGGCTAGTAAGCACATGAAATGGCTACTGATAAACAGCATTAGTCAGTAGGGAAATGTACATCTAAGACACACCCACTGGGATAGATAAAATTAGAAGACAGAAAATAACAACTGCTGGGAAACGTGCACAGAAATTGGAACCCTCAGACATTGCTGGTAGGATCGTAAGATCCTTTAAGTGGTACAGCCACTTTGGAAA